TCAGAGACGAGATAACGGCCTTATTGACGACAGCCTGACTCGCGCATAAACGACCAACCTTCTGCTATAACTTCTTTCTACATCTTAATAGAATCTCGGAGCCCCATTGCAATCACATCTGAAATTGCTTTTATCACACACACGTACTGAGAGTTTCATATTTTACATACAAGATGAGGTACAACAACCACATACACACAAAACACTAATGCAAACAACACAAAAAAAAACGAACCATCAATTGCAACTTGGCTATTACACCAAGCTGATCAGAATAGATTCCGACACCCACACATCGCTTTACGAGACTCAGTTCATCATCTGGAAGATGACACTCAGAGTCTAAAACACCTCTAAAATCCACAGATATGAGATGAACATATAGGATCACTTATTATACCACCCCCCACACATCATCATTTCTGATCCCATACATGCAGCCAACAAAAATAGGAGAATCATATCTAATACAAAACTACCATATATAAAAATATCAATCTATGGCAAAGTTCCTAGGCAAATAGATGCCCTGAATTGTAGTATACCAGAATATAGAGACAACAACATCAAATATAGGTTTAGGGTTGATATCAGGTCAGGGCTATTTCATTACACATTCAGTTGGCAGATTTATAACTAACAAAATTCAGCTAGGTCCAATAATAGACGAAACATGTAAAAACATGCGGGTAGCTTGAGAATTACATATTACACCACACACAAAATATTAACATACGCATTCTCTCACGAGACGATCGAATAAACAAGCGATCACCCGGCAATCCCATGCATCAACATATGTAACCTCGCTATCCAACTAATCGTACCCGCTACACATTTCTCCCACCCAATCCTCATCCCCATTCCAAAAACCAATACGTCTAATCATTAGATTACGGAGTTTCCGACTCCCACGCACTTATCCCCCCCCACGGCCACTTCCGCTCTCCGTTCATGCGTCCTCAGTCCCCACCCTTATATCTCAACATTGACTCCTTACAGCTTCTCACGTTTCGTATTTCTTCATTTTGTAGTTCTGGCCTGCCTGATCCACCGCTCTTGACTTTTACGGAAAACTGTTAAATACCAAAACGATCGCGACTCGATAAAGGAGCTATAGATTTGAGAATGTTTGTTTTGAGGTGAAATTGACTTCTGAGTAGATTTTCTCAGCCTGAATGCTGCAACTCGTTCTGCAGAGAGAGTCTTTGCTCATCTTTGTACACTTATATTTGGCACTTGAGGGTGGCTATAGACGGAAGGAGTGTGTGGGGACGAGGAGAGAGCTTGAGTTGGTGACCCATCTATCCATCCAGGACAGGCGCACTGACAAACAGCTCCCTGGAAGCGCGGCATGTGTCTGGTCCTGGCCGTATACTAATATATGCGCTATGCAATAAACAGCCCACATGCTGCTTACTCGCTGTGTAAACCACACATATTTCAAATGCAGAACGAGTCCACATGCTCTTTGTCCACTCGAACTCATTTGATCTTGTTATCCTTTTGTCATCACGTGTCGCATCATCTGACAGGAATTCGTGTGCTTGATGTCACTAACATACCTTTGGCAGCCGCAAAATGGGCTCAGGCGATAGATTAGCCTTTCCAATAATAGAGCATCGCGCTGATGTGGAAGGCTGTGGCAGATCCAAGCAGGTCTGAGAGGCTGTTGAGACGTGCTGTGAGTCACAGATTAATGGTAGCAGTAGCAGCGAATTCACGCCCGAAAGCTCTTTTTCTTTTATTCTGCTTCTTTTAGTGTGGTTTAGTGCGTGTTAGTAACGAACAAGTCTACAGGTCTCTGGCGGTGTTTTCTGGACTTCACACAAGTGATTCCATATACCAGGAAGTTTCAGACACTCGTGTGCGGAGATTTCGTTTTCTTATGGCATCTCACTGTACTTATTACGACAGTATATTTAGTAAAGCATCTATCACGTTCAGTCTGCTCTTTCCTTAATCAATGAAGTTACACCATTTTGAAATGGGCTAAACTGAATACATGATGCCCAAACAAATAGATATGTCAAGCCCTCATTAAATCTAAACATTCTTAACTTTGTATTCCTTATGTAGGAATCAATAGTATACCAATGCCATTCATGCTTGTATTATATCTTTATTCATGTTAGCAATCTGTCACCTGATTGTACAACCCATATTTGTGTTATTCTATGTTTGGTCATTCCTCTTATACTTGGCATCTATTGAACATGGGCTGCTGATCGATGGCAGGCGGTAATACTCCTCTGGTCCTCGAAGAAAATGAAAGAACCTACAAATGGAGATTCAATGGATTCTAATTAGGAATATATATGAATGACTGTTTATACCGAGGACATTCTTTGGTTCAATTATGGCCAAAAGTTATCATACCCACAGAACCACTTAAAGCTGGGGTAGTAAGTTTGGAGAAACAGGCCTAGAGATACTTTCCTTGCGTTATATTCCATGGAATGCTCTTAACATCCCGATAGCAATGAATATCTGAAGTGCTTTGACAAAAAATCCATTAAAAAAACTTCACCTGTGGAAGCCGTAGTACTGTAAAAAGCACGACCAATCATTTTAGCCGGCCCGGCTAAAATAACTGGATGGCCTACCTGCCTGTCAGCCTTCCATGTGTGCACAAACTTATCTCGTGCCCTCATTGGTCATGTGCGCGTTCGTGTGTGTTGGGGGAGGGGCTCTGTAAGGAAGCGGCAGATTTTTTCCGGTTGTGTATTTTCAAATTCTAGCGCACTCGAGCAGGTTTCTCCAAAATTACCTACCCCACCTTTAACTTAAATCTGTATAAAAGTTATACAGAAAAATCTCATCTCTGAGGCATATCTTATCTTATTATACAATACAACAAAGTACTTAGCAGAGAGCACCTCCCACAAATAAAACACAGATGAAACATTGACAGCATTTGGAAAGCCTCTCTAAATTTGCTATTCTACATTACCAGATAATCCCTTTTTATTTAATTCTACATAATAATATAGTCAAATCCAAAGATGAAAGCAAACCTTTGTTTTGGGGTGGATGTTTGGCAGCACTTCTCCCTGTAGTGAGGCCCGTTGCTCCTGGACTCCACTCCCCATCCCGGAGGACTACGCACTGCTGTCACTGAACCTGCTCATGAATTCAACTTCTGCAGACAGGGGCAGCACCACCAGGCCCTCACAGCTGGGGGGGGGGGG